CAAGAGGAAGCAGCACCAGGAAGGGGGCGGTGTCCACCGAACAGGTAATTGCTGGCTTTAATCGCCTTCAGCAGGAACAGAGGGGCTTAGTATCCAAAGCTGCTGAGCTGGAGATGGAATTGGATGAACACAGCCTAGTGATTGATACACTGAAGGAAGTGGATGAGACCCGCAAAAGCTACCAGATGGTTGGGGATGGTTGGCGGTGTGCTGGCAGAACGGACTATCAAAGAAGTGCTGCCTGCCTTGGAAGGCAACAACGAGCAGATACAGAAGACCATTGAGACACTGTCACAGCAGCTTCAGGCAAAGGGGAAAGATCTCAATGAATTTCAGGAAAAGCACAACATTCGTCTTATGGGGGAAGATGAGAAGCCAGCAGCCAAGGAAAACTCAGAAGGGGCTGGAGCTGAGTCCAGCTCAGCAGCAGTGCTCGTCTCTTAGGAACGAAAGCTTCTAGATTTCTAATTTCTTTTTATCGTTGTTGTTATTATTATTTTCTCTGCTATTGTAATATTTCTTTGTTAATTAAATGTTTTGGTCAGAATGCTTAGCAGTAGCCTGATACTTTCTCTCATTTAGGGCCAGCCACATTAAGGGCAAAAGATAGCATACAGCTAGGCATGGTGGCACACATGCCCTAATTTTAGTACTTGGGATACAACAGGAGGCAGATCTGAGTTCCAGGCCAGCCTGGTCTACATAATGAGTCCCAGGCCATCCAGGGTTACATACAGTGAGACCATGTTTCAAATAAAACAAAAAAATAATATATGATTTGCAGGTTTTGTTTCTGCCAGGTCAATGGCTCCCAGTATCAGAAATGCTTATACTTTGGCCTTTCCCTTGCAAGTAAAGGTGTCTACTTATTAAGTGCCCTCCTAAAAAGGATTCAGAGACAAAATGTTGATTCTCAGATTGGAATTTAATAAGTATTTGAAGTGGGGCAGGAGCTCTGACGAGAACGCTGTGTGGGTTTGCCAAAACAGGCTTGGCCATGTGCCTTTCTGACGTTCTTTAGACGAAGAGTTCCAGGATGCAAACCTGTGGGCTAGCTGTCCTGCCGTCCTCACCAAAACCCCCAACCAAATAAAGCTGGTTGTTCCAAAGACAAGTGCCATGGCCTACATGCTCCAGTCTGCGGTCTGCACAGGGGAAGAGAACCACAGAGGTGGAGACTTGCCTGTTGGGTGGAGAGTAGAGGGTGGTTATTGAGAGAGGGTACTTCGTTCTCCTCTTCAACACGCCAAATGTTTGCCTGTTATTTCTCTCCTCATTTGATACGTTGGCCTTTTCAAATATTCTGTGTATATTGTCTATTTTACTTTTTTGTTTCTTGAAACAGGGTCTCACTGTGTTACCCTGGCTGGTTTCAAACTCTGTGTAGACCAGGCTGGGAACTCCCAGAGATCTGCCAGCTTCTGCCTCCCAAGTGCTGGGATTAAAGGTATGAACCACCATGCCTGCCTCTAATTTTTGTTTGTTTCTTTTCAAGATAAGGTTTCTCTGTGTAGCCCTGGCTGATCTGGAACTCACTATTTTGGAACAGGCTTTCTTTTGGGTCACCTCTCAAATAAAGATATGGAGATTTATGGTTAGTTATGAAAAAAAAAAGAATTGTGTTGGAATTTTGATGGGGATGGTGCTGAATCTGTAGATTGCTTTTGGTAACATGACCGTTTTTAGTATGTTAATCCTACCAATCCATGAGCATGGAGACCCTTCCATCTTCTGATATCTCCTTTAATTTTTTCCCCAAATCTTTGAAGTTTTGGCATACAAGTCTTTTTCTTACATGGTTAGAGTTACCTCATGGTATTTTATATTATTTGAGGTGATTATGAAAGATGTTGTTTCCCTAATTTCTTTCTTAGTTCATTTGTCATTTGTGTATTATTTTTTTGCAAATTAATTTGGTATCTAGCTACATTGCTGAAAGTGTTTATCAGCTATAGGAGTTCACCCAGTGGAATTTTTGGGGTCACTTATGTATAGTATCATATCATCTGCAAATAACGGTACTTTGAGTTCTTCCTTTCCTATTTAAATCCCCTTGATCTGATGGGGGATGCCCTTCTGTATATAAGTTTCTCTTATTGATTGATGAATAAAACATTGTTTGGCCTGTAGCCAGTAGAGGTAGGAAGATAGGCGGGGCTAGGAGATGAGGAGAATTCTGGGGAAGGTAGGTAGAGCCCGCCAGAAGGATGCCATGTAGCAGAGGAAGGAGAAATAGGGCCAGGCCCTTCTCCGGTAAGATAAGACCACATGGAAATACTTAGATTAGTAGAAATGGGTTCATAATTAAGACAAAGCTAGCCAATAAGAAGCTCAAGTCATTGACCAACCAATTAATATAAGTCTCTTTGTGCTTATTTAGGGCTAAGAAGGGCGGCAGGACCTGGTGGGACAAGAAAACATAGCAATGTTGATCTCCTTCAGTTGTCTTTTTGCACTAGCTAAGACTTCAAGTACTATGTGTCGGCTAAGTATGGAGAGAGTGGACAACCTTGTTTTGTTCCTGATTTTAGTGGAATTGCTTCAAGTTTCTCTCCATTTAATTTGATGTTGGCTATAGGCTTGCTATAAACTGCCTTTATTATGTTTCGGTATTGTACTGGCTGGTTTTGTGTGTCAACTTGACATAAGCTAGAGTCGTAAGAGAGGAAGGAGCTTCAGCTGAGGAAATACCTCAATGAGATCCAGCTGTAAGGCATTTTCTCAATTAGTGATCAATAGGGGAGGGTGCAGCCTATGGTGGATGATGCCATTCCTGGGCTGGTGGTCTTGGGTTCTATAAGAAATCAGGTTGAACAAGCCATAGCAAGCCAGTCAGCAGTACCCTTCCATGGCTTCTGCATCAGCAACTGCTTCCAGGATCCTGTCCTGATTGAGTTCCTGTCCCGACTTCTTTCAGTGATGAACAACAGTGTGGAAGTGTAAGCTGAATAAACACTTTTCTTTTCTCCCAAGTTTTTTTTTTTTTTTTTTTTTTTTTTTTTTTTTTTTTTTTTTTTTGGTTTTTCGAGACAGGGTTTCTCTGTGTAGCTTTGGAGCCTATCCTGGTACTCTCTCTGGAGACCAGGCTGGCCTTTAACTCACAGAGATCCCCCTGCCTCTACCTCCCAAGTGCTGGGATTAAAGGCATGCGCCACCAATGCTTGGCCCCAAGTTTTTTGTTTTTTTTTTTTTTTTTGTCTTGTCATTCTTCATAGCAATAGAAACCCTAACTATGACAGATATGTCCCTTGTATCTCTAATCTCTCAAGAAGGTTTATCATGAAGGGTGTTGGATTTTGTAAAAGGTCTTTTCTGCATCTAAAGAGATGATCATGTGGTTTTTGTTTTTCAGTTTGCTTATACGGTGGATTACATTTATTGATTTTTGTATATTGAACCATCCCTGCATCTCTAGGATGAATACTTGATCATGGTGGATGATCTTTTTGATATGTTCTTGGATTCAGTTTGCAAGCATTTTACTGAGTATCTTTGCATCTATGTTCATAAGGGAAATTGGTCTGTAAATCTCTTTGGTGGTCTGTATGTGGTTTGAGTATCAGGGTAACTATGGACTCATAAAGTGGATTGGGCAATGTTCCTTCTGTTTTGATTTTGTGGACTAATCTTACACTCCATGTATGCTGTTTGGAAAACCCCCCATGGCCCAGGTCATCCCTCCATGTTGTGTAGCAAAGTTGTACTTGGGGAATTGTGTACCACTCATATGGATGGCCTTGATTTTGCTGAGTCATTGTAATCCCATTCCCTTCTTGAACAGATGGTCAGCTGAGGAGCCAGGATAAGGCTGCTAAGCAGGAGACATCCTCCCCATGACTTCCTCCTCGGGTCCTCTGGTGCTATGTAGGCTCTTATATTAAGCTGCTGCTCTCCTGGTGGTGTCTGTTTCTTCTCTGATGGGCTCACTGAGCCATTTCCTCAACCCATGCAACTGCCAGGTGTAGTCTCTGAGCAGACTGTCAGCTTCACTTCCCACCCCCAGGCCTAGAACTTAAAGTTCTGGGAGGAACTGTGAAGCAAGCCCTCAGGAGGATTCTGAGGCATGTCCAACTTTGAAAGCCATAGTGCTAGCCACCAGTTGGTTTTATTTACTCTTTAACTATGCAATTACTTGTAACTATATGCGTGATGCATGCACACACTCCAGGTGTGAAATTTTAATGCTAAGAGACAGAGAGAGAGGCAAGTAGTCACAGTCTCCCTTCATTCTGTGCTTCAGGAGCCCTTCTCAGTGGCAAGTGCTGTTCAGCTGCGCGCCTCTCTACCCACAACTTTACTATAGCATGCTGTACTGTTTTCAGATTCATAGAACTATGAGTTATTCTCTTAATAACTCATGACATAGAATTATGAATTACAATTTCTCTGTCTTTAAATACGATGTTTTGTGGCTAGAACTTCATCTTGAGATCTTGTGGTAAGGGGTCTTAAAGCTCAAACTGGAGGGCTCAAGAGAGAATGCCGACACTTCTGGACACTTGCTGGAGTGTTGATTTAACTGTGTTGCTTTAAAGTTTGTGCATTGAGAGCTCTGTTCTCAGTGTGGCAACGCTGGGAGGCAAGACCTCTAGAAAGGAGCCCCAGGGCTGTGAAGATGGCTAGGTGGGTTAAAGCACTTGTCATGCAAGCAAGATCAGATTTTAAATCCCCAGAACCTGTATAAATGTTGGGTGGGCGTGGCAACTCGCTTGTAACTCCAGCCATAGAAGGTAGAGCCCAGAGATTCCTCACAGCCTCCACCCTCCTTCCCCAAGCAGGGTGGCTAGTAAGACTGTCCTCATAGGTGAGCTCTGGGTTTGACTGGGAGACCTTGCCTCAAAAGAATAAGATGGAGTGGAATAGAGGAAGATTTCTGTCATCAGTTTCAGGTGCTGCACTTTCGTGCATACCTTTCTTTCTCTGTCTCTGATTCTCTGTGTGACTCTGTCTTTGTCTCTTTCTCAAGCTAGCCTGCCTCAGGTATTTATTTCATTGCCACAATGAACAATGGGTTAATACCCCCTCAGGGACAGTATCAGATGCTACTGGGACTGGACATGTCCCACCAGCCTGAGCATGCAGAGCTATCCCGCTCTCTGAGGGGTGGGGGACATGATTATAACTTGAGTGGTGTGTTGAGGTTTACAGATTGGGTTGTCACACTGATGCAGAAGGGACCTCCGTGCCTTGGGCCCCTGCAGGTTCCAAGCCACAGGGGGAATGGAATCAGTCTTCACTTTGAGATATTAGAACTTCCAGCTCTCCTGCAACCCATGAACACAAAAACCCTTTCTGTTGTCCTTAGACCCTGGTCCTTTTGTCCCTAATTTCCCAAGCCTCATAGGAGCTTCTGTAATTCACATCCTTATGGATTTGGGGTGTCGGGACAGACTTGCTGTGGTAACCCTTGTCATCAGGCTGCTCACAGGGACAGTTGACTTCTGTGTCAGCACATGGCTACCCAGGCCAGGGGAGAGCTCTCTGTATTTGCAGACAGGGCCACAGGGAGTCCTTTGTGTGTACAGACAGACAGGGTCACAGTGAGTCCTCCCCATCTGCAGACAGGGCCACAGTGAGTCCTCCCCATCTGCAGACAGGGCCACAGTGAGTCCTCCCCATCTGCAGACAGGATCACAGTGAGTCCTCCCCATCTGCAGACAGGGTCACAGTGAGTCCTCCCAGTGCAGACAGTACCACAGTGAGTCCTCTCCATCTGCAGACAGGGTCATAGTGAGTCCTCCCCATCTGCAGACAGGGCCACAGTGAGTCCTCCCCATCTGCAGACAGGGCCCCAGTGAGTCACCCTTCCCAGCACTGGCTTGGCTCCCTGCCCTTTCCTTGCTTTTGCAGCCTGCTTGGGCTCCCAGCCACAGATCGAGGTCTACAGCAGGACTCTCCCAAGACTGTGTGCCTCCAGTTCCTGGCTGAGACCACTGTCTTCTGAGCAGCATTTCTCCTCTATTTTCCCTCCGCTCCCAATAAATGGAGTTTTTCTTTTAACATCTCTGCAAATCACAGCCCTCCTCTCATTTTATTTTGCCTCCTCACCCGCCTTGTTACTTTGTTGCTTTAACAAGCTAGCTTGGTGCTTTCTGTCAACCTGCTTTCTGTTGCAGGAACCGTCTCCACCTCTTTGTGTTCTTGCTTTGAACAGTTCTTATTCAGAAAGCCAATTTCATCTGGTGCCCTTGAGTTGTTATTTTTAATAGCAGGGCTGTTTTCCCATATTCCTTCTATTTCTCAGCAAAAGCTCTCAGCAACTGGATTGGGGTTTTAGCTGGGCGTGGGTTTGTGGAAGGGGGTTCGGTGCCTGTGAAGCCAGAAGATAGTGTCCCCTATGTAGCATCAGCTAGCCCCTCTGGTAGCTGGAGTTGCCATTTGTGAGCCACCTGACATGGGTGCTGGGAACTGAACTCAGGTCCTCTGCAGGAGCAGTGTGTGTGTTTAACCACCCAGCTCTCTCTCCAGCCTCTCACTTGAGTTTTTAAAAAAGATTTTTATTTTTATTTAGATTATGTGGGTGCATGTAAATGTTTGTGTGTGTGCCTGTGCATCTGTCTGTCTGTCTGTCTGTGTGAGGGTAGATTTGTGGACCTGAGTGAAGGTGCCCTAACAGTCCAGAAGAGGACATTGGATCTCTTGGAGCCAGGGTTACAGGTAGCTGTGAGTTTCTGGACAAGGGTGATGAGAACCAAACTCAGGTCCTCTGTAAGAACAGTACATCCTCTTAACCGCCAAGCCGTTTCTCGGGCCCCTTCTCCCTGGTTCCCATCTAACTTAACCGAAACTCCAAGAGGATTAATGTGACAGACAGCCTAGGAAGCTGGATGAAACCAACACACAGGGGATTAAACTTTGAAGCCAGGACATAACAAAGGAACGAAAACCTGAACTTCAGATTGGTCTCCAGGAAGACAAGTGCCAGATGTGGCAAGGGTTGACTCCTCTGGGCTTTGCAGGGCTTTCAGGAGGCTTGGGGCTTGGAGCTCTTAAAAATCCCCACATGAGCTGGGGCGGTGGCTCAATTAGTAATTGCGGACCATAGGCCTGCAGCTCACATACAAAATCAAGGTATGGTGAAGTGCTAGGGAGATGGGGACAGGAGGGTCCCTGAGACTTTCTGACCTGCCAGCTTAGCCTGCTTAGTGAAACCTAGGTCAGCGAGACTTTGTCTCTGGCAAACCAAAGTGACAGTGTTCGGAGGAAATGTGCTAGAGCTTTTCCTGTGGCTGTCATATGTACACACACACACACACACACACACACACACACGCGTCTATGCGCTACTGAGGATTTTGGCATTGGCTTCAATTTGGAAAGCAACAGGCTTCAATTTAGTACTGACAGTTTCCAGCAACTTCTCTTCGATCCTGACTTGTCAAGGGTTATGCTACAGATTGAAGGAGAATTGTCTCCATAGGTTCATGAGTTGGAAAACTTGGTCCCCAGCTTGTGGTGCTGTTTGGGGAAGCAGTGGGGAACCTTCAGGGGGTGGAGCCTCACTGGAGAAAGTGCCTCAGCAGGAGCCAGAACAAACCTTTGCTTATTGAGTTGCCTCTGTCAGGACGCGATCACAACAGTAAGAAAGGCTAAGGTAGCACCTGTGAGGTGATACTGTTGACAGGTGATACTGCTGCCCTGAAGCAAGCCTCTGGGCATGCCCTTGAGGGGTTATTACGATTACTTAATTTAGGAGGTAAGACCCACTGGAAAGGTGGGCAGAAGTGCCCTGTGTTCTGGGGTCCTGGAAAGAAAAGAAACTAGGAACAGGGCTGAGCTCTCCCTAAGTATCTCTGCTTCCTGACTGGATACAATGTGACCAGTGGCTTCAAGCACCTGCTGCTGTGTCTTCTCCACCATGATGGACTGACTATACACTGGACCTGTGAGGCAACGTAAGTCCTTCTTCCTTGAGTTGCTTCTGTGAGAGTATTTTATCACAGCAATAAGACAAGTAGCTAATACAGCCCATTTATTGTTCCAGGGGACACTTTTCATAGGCACAGCTACTTAACTCTCAGAGGCCGAAGTGGTCCATCCTGATGTGAAGACAAGAGTAGACAGATTCCATTTCTCTGCATCAGAGCATCCTTGCAGATGTAGAAATATGCTTGTAAATAATAACATGAGTGATGTCAAAATTCTTACATGCAATTATCAAACACTGATATGAACATAATGTCATGATTGTATCATTATTTTAAATTCTTTCTTGAGTATAGGGATTGAGCTGGTGTCCCCTCTAGCTCAGACTGGTCTGGGACTCACTGTGTAGCATTGGCTGGGTTCCAAACCCAAACCCTCCTGTCCTGAGACTGCATATACACCTCCATACCCAACTTTTGATGGGGCTTTTCGGGATATGACTCAGTTCTTGTGCTTTCGTGGACAGGACATCACTAGCTGACTTACCTTCCTGCCCCTAGCCGTCTATCTAGAAATGAGCACTGCTGGACCAGCCTCCATAAAACACAGCCGTAGCCTAAACACATCATTCTTCTCTGTCTGCTCTCTATCATCCACTTAGGATGCTCAAAACTCATATTTAAAGTTCTACATAATTATCAAGGCACACGCTCTACCTGTATTTCTGTTGATTCTTCTCTTCATCTTGTGCCGGCCCACACGGTCCTCTTCATTGTATTCATTAAGTTTCTGGACTTCCTTACAGCAAGTTTCCGTGGGCGGTTAACTTAGAGTCTTCCCTTTCCCCTCCCACTTGAGTGACAGTCGGGATGGAAATCGGAAATCGGATTCTGGTTGGGTCCTTCTCAACTTCAGACTTACATTGCTGCTACTGTGTGTCTTCTTGTGTTCGGTGTTGGAAGAACTTCAACGCTCTGCCAGGCTTTATCTCTTTGTAAGTAACTCAGCTTCTTCTGCCTACTCATGTAATACCTTTTCTGAAGAAAATTATAATTTGATCCATAGAAACTGTACATGTTGGGAGGGCTGTGAGATGCACACAATGTTCCAGTCAAGATAAGTGTCTTCATTGCCTTAATCATTTTTCTCAGTGGTAGAAGCATTCAAAACTCTTTCTTCTAACGTCTTTGGTTTTGGTGTTTGTGTTTTTGAACAGGGTCTTATGTGTCCTAGGTTTTGAACTTGCTATGTAGCCGAGTTTGACCTGGAGCTTCTGGTCCCCCTGCCTCCACCTCCTGAGTTCTGGGATTTCAGAAGTGCATCATCATGACAGCTGCCCTGCTGGCATGGAACCCAGGGCTTTGTGAATGAGGAACAAGTACTCTGACAGCTGATCCACAGGACTCCATCCAACCCGGGCTGGCCTTAAACTACTATGCAGCCAAGGGCGACTTTGATCATCCAATCTTCCCTCCTCCACCTCCCAAATGCTGGGATGACAGGAGTGTACCACCATGTTGACAACTTCTTAAAACTAAGGACTTACAAAAAGCAACACCGAGATTTCCAGTCTCCATGTCTGGGTGGATTATGTGGTGTTTGCTGCTCTGTATGTGGCTTATTTCATGTAACATGGCGTCTCCAGGTCCACCCATGTAGTTGCAAATCACAGAATTTCACACATTTTATGGCTGAATAGTATTTTATTATGTATATACACACCACATTTTCTGTAATTGCTCATTACTTGACAGTCATTTCGGCTGACATTCCATTCCTTGGTTACAGAGAATAGTAGTATAAGTACATGGGAGATGTCTCTTAGGCACACTGATTTAATTTCATATGTATTTATAAGCCAGATTGCTAGACTATATAGCAATTTTATTTTGGGGGGAATTTCCATGTAATTTCCTTTTTTCTTTTTTACAACATTTGAATTCATTTAGATTTCCACTAACACTACATAAGTGCTTCTATTTTCTCCAATCACTGCCCACATTTGTTATTTTTCATTTTTGATAATAGTCACTAGAACAGGGATGAAGTGATATCTTGTTGGGGTTTTGATTTCCAGTTTTTGCTTGATGATTAGTGAGGCTGGACATTTTAAAAATTTATCTTTAGTGTGTGTGTGTGTGTGTGTGTGTGTGTGTGTGTGTGTGTGTGTGTCTATGTGAGAGAATGTGCACAGAAGTGCAGTTCCAGGTGGAGGCCAGAAGAGGGTATTGGATCCCCTGGTACTGGCGTCAATATGTGTTTGTGAGCTGCTAGATGTAGGTACTAGAAACAGGAACTTAAATCCTTTATAAGAGCAACAAGTGCTCTTAGCCAATGAGCCATCTTTCCAGCCCTGTCTTAGGTTTTCTATTGCTCAGATAAAACACCATGACTAAAAGCAACTTGGGGAGAAGGATTTATTTCACCGTAAGGCTTTTAAGTCCATCACGAGGGAAGCCAGGTCAAGAACTCAGGGCGGGAACTCAGGGCGGGAACTCGGAGGCAGGAACTGAAGTAGAGGCCATGAAGGGGTGCTGCTTACTGTCCTGCTCCTCATGCTTGGCTCAGCCTGGTTTCTTACAGGACCACCAGCCCGGGGTGGCACTGCCGGCAGTGAGCTGGGCCCTCACACATCAATTGTTGATCAAAAAATGAACTACAGGCTTTTCCACAAACTGATTTGGTGGGATCATTTTCCCTTTTCAAAATGATTTTAGTTTGTGTCACGTTGACATCAAACTAGCCCGCACAAAGCCCCAGCATTGTTTCTACAATAGTCATTTTAACTGGGGTAAAATGATAGCTCACTGGGGTCTTGATTTGCATCTCTCTGATAAGTGACGTTGGATATTCTCTCATTTACTAGTTGATTATATGTATGCTTTCTTTTGAGAACTGTCTATTTAGGTACAGTGCCCATTTTAAAATCAGATTATTTATTGACTTACTGTTCATCCAATTGTTTGCGTTCCTGTGTTTTAGATACCAGCCCTCACCAGATGTGTAGTCTTCAGTTGCTTTCTCCCATTCTGTATGTTACCTCTTCATTCTGCTGACTGCTCCTTTTTCTTTGTGTGCAAGCCATTCAGTCTGAAATAATTCCATTCCTGCATTTTGCATCCATGCCTTGTAGTTTTGGTGTCTTATCAAAAAACTCACCACTGAAGCAACACCACGAAGTTTTCTATGCTCAGGTTTTCTAATACTAGTCTCACAGTTTGAAGTTTAGTTATTTTGAGTTGGCTTTTATATATAGTGGGAGATGGGGTTATAGCTTCATTCTGCAGTTTCCCCTAGCCATTTATTGAGGAAAGTTCTCCTCTCACGTTGTTCTTTGCATCTTGGTTGAAGATTGGTATGCTATAGGTGTGTGGGGTTTTACCCACTGTCTCTAGTCTGTTCCCCTGTCTACTGTTTTGATGATTATTGTCTTAGTTAGGGTTACTATTGCTGGGATGAAACACCATGACCAAAGTAACTTGGGAAGGAAAGAGTTTATGTCAGCTGATGGAAGCAGACACAGACACCCACAGCTAAACACTGAGCTCAACTTTGGAATCCAGTTGCAGAGAGGGAGGAGTGATGAGCAAAGGGGTCAAGACCAGGGTGGAGAAATGCCAGAAACAGCTGACCTGAACAAGGGGGAGCTCATGGATCCCAGACTGATAACTGGGAAGCCAGCATAGGACTGTTCCAGACCCCCTGAAGGAGGAAGTGAGTTTGAAGGTCTGGACAATCTTTGGGGCCACAAATGGACTTTGGGAGCCCTCTCCTCATAGAGTGATACTCTCTCAGCCTAGACACACTGGGGAGGGTCTAGGTCCTGCTCCAAATGATATGACAGACTTTAAAGATCCCCCATGGAAGCCCTCACCCACCCTGGGGAGCAGAAAGTGGTTGGGATAGAGGAGTCTGTGGGGGGCAGGGGAGGAGGGGAGGGAGAGGGAACTGAGATTGACCTGGAAAAGAAGCTTGTTTCTAATGTAAATAAAACAAACAAACAAAAACAAAAAAGAGTTTATTTCACTCACAGTTCCATGTAATAGTTCATTATCAAAAGCAGTGAGGACAGGAACCCAATCAGGGCAGGAACCTGGAGGCGGGAGCTCATGCAGAGGCCATGGAGGGAGCTGCTTACTGGCTTGCTCCCCATGGCTTGCTATAGAACTCAGGTCCTGAGTTTCTATAGAACTCAGGACCACCAGCCCAGGGATGGCACCACCCACAAAGGGCTAGGCAATCCCCCCATCAATCACTAATTAAGAAAATGCCTTACAAGCTTGCCTACACACAGCCTGACCTAATGAAGGGATTTTCTTAATTGAGATTCCCTCTTAACTGAGGATTCTAGCTTGTGTCAAGTTGACATAAACCTAGCTAGAACAAGTGTAGCTTTGTAGTATATTTTGAAGTAGTTAGATGTGATGATATGATGATATTCACAGCTGTTTTCTTTTCACTGGTGATGACTTTGCTGTCTGGCTATTTTATTTATTTTTCGACAGTATGAATTTTAGAATGTTCTTCTGTGACTGATGGAATGTGACTGATATTGTTCATGTGTACTGCGTTGAATCTAAAGATTGCTTTGGGCAGTATGGACATTTAATAATATTTCTCCTTCCCATCTACAAGGGAAGCCTCTGAACCTTTATATGTCTTCTTCCATTTCTTTTGTAAATGTTTCATTCTTTTCAATGTAGAGATCTTTCATCTCTTTAGCATTTTTTTAAATTTTATTTTTGATAACTTAGAAATGTCTTTGTTTTCTTGATTTCTTTTTTCAGGTAACTTGTTATTGGTGTGTAGAAAAGATACTGATTTTATTACATTGGTTTTGTGTCCTGCCACTCTTCTGAATTTGTTATCAATATTAATTATTCTTAACTTATTATTCTAATAGGGGCGTGTGTCTGTGCATGCAGACAGTGACAGTTTGATTTCTTCTGTTCCAACTCCAATGTGTTGTATTTCTTTGTCTTGCTGAGTGCCCTGGCTGAGACTTCTATCCTATTGATCAGCAGTGGTAAAAGTGCCCATCTTCACCTCGTCCCAGACCTCAGAGGGAATGTGTTCACCTCTTTGACACTCCACATGACGCTGTCCACAAGCTTTTAGCATGCTGCTCTCTGAAGCTCTTTCTCCTGAGGTGAACCTGTTAGAATCACATATTCGTGAACAGATGTTTCTTCCTATTTCCTTTGAGAAAATACCAACACCACAGTCTGTCTCTAATGCTGAACATTTTGTTTCATTAATTAATAAATTGATTCTTTTTTATGGTATTGGAGGCTGAGCCTAGGCCTCACACATGCTAGGCAAGTGTTCTATCTCTGAGTTACACCCCCAGCCCTTTTAAAGCCACTCTTTTGAGGCAGGTTTGCACTGTTACATAGGCCGGCCTTGCATTCACTGTGTTTCCCAGTAGGCCTTGTGCTCCCCCGCCTCAGTCTCTGGACTGGCTGGGACAGTGTTCTTGTATCTGTGCTGCATTGTTTCCTGTGACATTCTCACAGCTCTGCATGTTAGACCTGGTATTAACATCACCACAATGGTGATCATGGTGTTCCCACAACCCCAGGGCACCAGTGAGTCTGGCATTCACGGTAGCCCTGGGCAGTTGACTGTGTTCATGTAACTTTTTGACATTGGGCATGCCTTTTGCATAACTCTGCAATGTGGTGTGGTATGTGTGGAGACTTGGATAATGGTGGTCGTCACATAAGTGTGTGATATTTGGCCTGCTAGTCACAGGAACAACACTGGATTCTATAGCTATATAATTCTGTAGTATTTTGAAAAAATGCACATCTAAATAAAATGACAGTGCTAGTAGGTTTTAGGAAGGTCAACGTAGTGCCAATCTAGTTACTTAGGATGCTTTACTCACGGATGAGAGTTGTGATTGTGTGTGGAAGTGGGTGTGCAGATGTGTGTGTACATGTGTGTATCCTCATTCCTGCGTATTTGCATGTGTCTGTAGGTACATGTATGCATATGTATGTGCATACGAAAGTTGTTATTTGGAGTGTCTTCCTCAGTCATTCTCCACCCTAGGTTTTGAGAGAGGGTCTCCCATTGAACCCAGAGCTCACAAATTCTGCTGTGCCGGCTGATTGGCAGGCTCCAGGGATCCTAGTATGTCTGCACTCCCAGAACTGGATTGAATGTCTGTTCTGCCATGATTGGCTTACTGTGCATGGATTTGGGGGACCAAACTTGGGTTCTTGTACTTAGAAGGCTATCACTTTAATGACTGAGCTGCCTCCCAGCCTGGAGAGTTATGGTTTTGGTAGAGACCAGCAGTGGTGGTCTAACAGAATAGAATTCTGTCATTGACCTTAGAACTCATATGATTCAGATGGCGCTGGTGGGGTTCTGTAACCTTGATGTTGGTGCTGCTGCTTTTCTGTAACCTTGACATTGTGCTGGTGCCATGGAGGGAGCAACAGCCACATTTGTAGGTGGAGAGACTTCAGTTTTGAGAAGTGGGTCAAGTGTTACATAAAGTTACATAACAATAGATGACAAAGCTTGGCCCAAGTTTGGGTTTTCTGCGTGATGCAAACTAATTCCTTTCTGTACCACACTGAGGCTTATTCCGTCTAATTTAAAGGTGCCTGTGTCTTCTAGCTCCCCAGGGCTTAGAGCAGGCACTGCATCCCTTGTCATGACTACAGTCACAATGTCTGTCCACCTGTACATGTTCATAAGTGACACTGACCTAAGTCACACACTGCAGTGTGTGCATTTGAACTTCTGGAGATTGTGGTAAGCAGTAAAGAAGGCTTTCTGCTAAACTGAAGTGCTCGATAGTGTGCTTACAACCCTGTGAATAGATTAATTGGACGATGTAGGTGTCCAATCAGTTTTATGTCAACTGTTCACAAGCTAGAGGTGTTTGGGAAAAGGGACTGTCAATTGAGAAAAATGCCATCTGTAAGACTGGCTGTAGGCAAGTTGGTAGGGCATTTTCTTAATTAGTGATTGATGAGTGAGGGCCAGCCTGTTGTGTGCAGTACCAACCCTGGACTGGTGGCCCTGGGGTGTATAAGAAACCAAGCTGAGCAAGCCATGAGGAGTAATAGCGATGGACTGTGCTGTAAGAACTGTGCGCTGAAGGAAACCCTTTTCTCCCCAGCCTGTTTTTGGCCATGGTGTTTCTAACACAGTAATAGAAACCTAAGACAGAGGGTTGGCATTACTGAAAGTGTTGGTTGTATACTGACCACATTCTTCTCCTCTTCCTCCTTTTTTAAATTTAAGAACCCAGCTGGGCAGTGGTGGGCACACCTTTGATGCCAGCACTCAAAAGGCAGAGGCAGGTGGATGTCTGAGTTCAAAGGCCAGCACAGAGTTCCAGGACAGCCAAGGCTACAAACAGAAACCTTGTCTCAAAAAACCAAAAAAATTACTTAAGAACCTTGAGAAGTCTTGTACAGACCCAGGAATATGTTGTTAGGGTTGAGGGGACAATCTATTGAAAATATATTTTAGTAACATTAACATAAACATTTAAGATTTTCACATCTTGCAGTGTATAAGGTATACTTCAATAAAAGCTTTGAAAAATATACATCCAAAGAAAATGGCAATGCTAAGAGGTTTTACAAAAGTCAAGGGTCCTGTCAATTTGGGATGTTTTCTATTAGATAAAAGTTTAGGTTTAGGGTTTTAATAAAAACACAATCACACCTAGAATTTAAATCACTTTTATATTAAAATTATTTATTACCCCCCCTGTGTATGTGTGTCTGAGAGAGAGAAAGGGAGAGAGAAAGATAGATAGATGAGAGAGAAGGGGGGAAATAAGTGTGCTTGCAAGAGTCAGAGGACAGCTGGTAGGAGTTGTATCTCTACTTCTATCCTGTGGGTCCCAGGGATTAAACACAGGGCACAAGGCTAGGAGGCAGACACCCTTAACCACTAAGCCATCCCACCAGCCCTATTCCCTTGAATTGAAAGGTACAATGTGATGTAAGAATGCATATTGCTTCCCCGTATCCCATGACACCATTAGGACTTTTCTGTTGCTCTCAGTTCCCAGGGCTCATGAACTATTTTTTCCCTTTCAGTACTTGGGATGCATTGAAGTTCTGCGCTCAATGAGGTCTCTCGACTTCAGTACAAGAACTCAGATTACCAGGTAAGCTCTCTTGAAAGTAGACTCCTGTGATTTTATCTTTGAAAGGAAAGATCTCAAAAGTTTACATCCTAGGAATTTCTAGAAGAAAGCCTGACCCTTCCGACACTGGAGGTTGGTAATGGAGTCAGGACTCACAGTGTGTTAAAGTATGTATTGAACTATGGTTGTACCTGTCCACGTGTGGAGAGATAGGTCTCTCATCAGAGCACCAAACTACATTCTTTTTGAGAAACAAAGACCAAGACATCTCGAGTGAGTTTCCAATGGTGCACAGAGAAAACAAATTTCACAAGAAGAGATATAGAAATATTCATGAGGGAAAATCATTTAGGAAGGAGATTGAATTTTTAAAATATTTTATTTTCAATTAATATTCTAGGCAGTATACAAAATATTGGGTTTCATTATGATATCTTATTTGATTTTTATTAATGTTTTAGTATAAAAATACTGGACCTCGTTATTCTTTCACACATGTACTTCCTTTCACTCTTTCCCCCTTCCCTTCCCGCTTGTCATCTCCCCAAATGCTCTTTCTACTTTCATGTTCCATATATTTAAACCTCTGTTCTACAAATGAACAAAACTATGCAATTTTTGTTTTCTTTCCAATTGCCCTTTCTTGTTCCACTTTCCCCCTCCCCTGGCATAGAACATAGAACCCCTTCTACTTTCATCTCTCTCTCTCTCTCTCTCTCTCTCTCTCTCTCTCTCTCTCTCTCTCATGCATGCACACCATATGAGGATCCTCCCTCTCTCTCTCTTACACACACACACACACACACACACACACACAAGGGAAAGAGAGAGAATTAGTCAGACTTATTTCACTTAACACAGTGGTCTCTGGTTCCATATATTTTTCCTACAAATGACATGATTTAAAATATTTTATATGTGTTTCCCACATTCTAAGTTTCTCAGTGGCTCGGACTGAAGCATTTCTCAATGAAATATTGTAGCAAAATATAGTCACAGAAGAATCAAGCTTTTAGAAAAATACTAGTTCCCTGGCGTGTTACAGAGCAGACAACAGAGACTGTGACACAGCCGCACTTCTGTGGCCAGGGGGACTCTGTTACATTGACAGCTGTGGAAATGCTCAGGCACCATCCTCAGAAAGTAGCACCTGATTACTTCATCCAGATCTCAGTGTTGTGCTTCTCTGAGTCCGGGAACCAAGTCTGAAGGTCTTAGCCATGGCGTGTCGTCATTAGTTGTTATGTCCACACCACTGTCCTAAGTACTGTAGTGACGCCTCTTCCTCCCCTCTGAAGAAGTTCCTGGTTAAGAGCTCACCTTTCTCTTCTCCCTAAAGCAACTCAGGACATGCGGTGGGAACATACCAGCATCAGTGTTCTAGACCAAAGAAGGAAGGAATTCTGTTCTGAAGTGAGAGCTTTGAAAAGAGAAGTCTGTTTCCTTGGTCACCCATCCATTCACTGTGCTCACAACCACAAGGACAATAGAAGGGTGAAGAGGATTTTCATCAGGGGAGGGTGAGAGAGGCAGAGTGAGCTTCACATACAGGCTACAGTTCTTATTAGGGCTTCTGAGGGGTTGGTCATGAGGCTGGGGACTTTTCAGAAGTGTTGGGATATGGGTTGGGGGTGGTGGTGTTAATGGTTAAACCAGGAAGGGCAGGAACAGTATTTGTGGTGACTTTGGGGATCCCACATTCAGGCTGGAGTGGGGCTTTCTTCAAGATAAAAGACAAAGCTGTCTTAGTCAGTATTCTATTGTCGTGAAGAGACACCATGACCAACTTTTACAAAGGGAAACATTTAATTGGGGCTGCCTTACAGTTTCAGAGGTTTAGTCCATTATCATCATGGCGGGAAGCATGGAAGCATGCAGGCGAGAGACTGGGCTTGGCTTGAGCATTTGAAACCCCAAAGCCCACCTCAAGTAACACACCTCCTCCAACAAGTGCCACTCCCCAAAGACCAAGCATTCAACTCGATGAGCCTGTGGGGACCAGTCATATGCAAACCATGTTCACATGGTCACTCTCACTGACAATGTGTGCACTGTCACATCAAGTGCAGAGTGATTCCCACTGCCTGGGGATGTGAGAACTGTGTGTGATGCTCACATTCACCTGTGTGGTGGTTGTTTTAAAGGAATAAAGCCTACTACAATCTTTTCCACTGGGTTCCCTCTTTGGATTTCTGAGGCACTTTTGTGCCACTGATGTATTTATTAAGTTACACCATCTGTTGTGTTCTGGGCAATACGGGCTGTCTGCTCTGCCCAGATGCTCAGTGTTGAGCCAGATGACACACAAATGCCTGAGGGTCATTTAAGGGACACAGACTGAGCCCTGATCCTCTGGGGTGGTAGTAAGGGGAGCTGGTGGGGGGCACAATTAAACAATTATAGTTTTCCCTTGAGTGAAGACTTTCTTCTTGGAGACCTGTGGGTGGAATCCAAGAGGACAGAAGCACCCACCCTGTAAAAGAAAGCAGATGGAGCCAACACTGGTGGGGATGGAGACTGGATGACTTTCTCCAGTTCCGTCCCGCTGTGGAAAAATGCTTCAGTGCAATAGGGCATGCGGAATGTCAACCCTGGACTCAGAAAAGGTGCTGTTGCAGTCTGGTTGCAGCAGTATTGACTTGGGTTTCATTAGACTCTGTCTGATGCTCCCCTATCTCTGTGTCATCTCTATTATATAACATTTTTCTTGTTGAATTTACTTCCTGGAGCACACTCACACAAAACATCAACACGAAAAGGAAGCTGTTTGCATCCAGAGGAATGCTCTGTTTTCCTTGTAGAGTCAGTCACATGGCATGGAACTTTTAAGGCCTTACTAGTAACTAGGTGTTAACTGTGCCTGCCTCTGTAATTAAATACTTCCTCCAGAATTTGTGTAGCAGGGAAACTTAATATGGTCAGATTTTACAGACACTAGGTGAATTTGTTTCTAAAAGTATTCCAGCTATTTATTTAATTAAATAAATAGTTATTTAATTAAATCCATTTTTGTAAGGAAATAACCTCTATGCATCTGTTTTACTGAATTTTAAAATGTAACTTGAAGTTCTTACCTTTATATTACTTGGAGGCATCAACAGTGGTTCCCACATAATATTTTCAAGGTAGGTTTAGTTTCGTTCTCTTCCGTGGCAACTGAGTTTGTTTATTGTTTTCCTTTCAACAATAATGGACACAGATTTCCAAATAAAACATGGCTTTTAATGGTTTTCCAACTAAGACATAACTTTAAAAATGTATGTTTAATTGCTTCTAGACTTATCGGCTCAGTGGCTATCAAAAATCCTATACTCCTGATACCTTGGTTTAAGGGAATTGGTGATACGTTCACCCCAATCACTGCCCACCCTGCTGAGAAGATGGCCTGTTTGTAGGTGCCATCTCTGCCAGGCTAATTCTTACCTGAAGTATTGAGCTTGGCTTAGATTTGGACACCTTGTAAGAAGGGGACCAGAATAATGTCTGTAGATCCTCCAGGACAAGGCCTGGTCATAGGGGCACCTGTGAGCATTTAGTTAGTCTCTTCATCACAGTGGACAAGTGAGTGTCCACAGCATGAGAGGCAACAAGGCCGTGACAGGCATTTCTTCCCTGAGGACCCTTGTGTTGATGGGGTGGACAGAGCTAAGGACCTCCCTCAGTGCTTGTGGGAGCTTGTGGGAACTTCTGCAGAGGAAATTGCTTCCCACGGGGCTCCTTCTCAGCAGGCTCGGACAGCACAAGTCCTCTGCCCTCCCCTAAAAGTAACCTCGCCCAGCACAGTTTTGGAATATGGCACCTGTACCCCCACTTCCCACATTTGTGGATGGGAAGTGCATTTTACAGTATCAAAGGGGCAACAGAGAAGCCCCACTGTAGGGGACAGTGAAACTTTAATCGTTCTAGGATTTCAAAGCTGATAACCTCACCTTCCTCCACTTCCAACTGTGATATGATCTCCGCCTGCTCTGCAGGCCCTGTTAGGAGCTCAAGGACCAAGGATGGGAACCAGGACTGATGTCACCTGGCTCCCAACAGGAGGCCCATTGGAGGCCTCCACATTTACCTATGCAAGGCTGTTGGGTTTCCACACTGGCCACTGTGACCACAAAGGTGGGACACTGGCCCTGGCCTCAAGGCTGATGTCAAAGCTGTGATCCCCTCATCTGTACTGCTGGAATGGCATGACAGTATTTCCTGAGTCAGGGGGCCCTGACCTCATCTGATGGGGACTCCTGCAGAAGGTGCTACAGAGTCTGGGCTTGAGCTCATGTCATGCTGTGAGTCTGCTCCTAGTAACCCTGCTGGCTGAGAACTGCAAGAGGACAAGAAATATCCTTGGTCACAATTGTGTTAAACTCTGTCACTGGAAGTCCTCTTATGGCCAATTTGTAGACAGTAGAAAGCTATGAATATCTACACTGTACAATTAAATCCGGAGTCCTCAGAGAGGCGGCCCTTCCCTGGCCACATTACAAAGGTCCTAATGATGTTTCTCTTGATTGTCAACTTCGGATGTTGTTCAGAAGTCAAACCCTAGAATTACAATATGCCAAGCGTGTCTGGTCAGATCCCCAGCCAGATACACAGGACAGCAGATCTAGCAGTGGTCACCTGCCTGAAGCAAGGGCCTCCCTTCTCTCCTCACACACATACAGGGTGTGATGCTTCACCGCCATTTTCAAGTCGATGAGATTTGGGATCACCATGGAAACACCTCTGGAGGAGACGATGAGAAGGTTTCCAGATAGGTTTAACTGAGCAGGGAAGACCTACCCTGAATGTGGGCAGCACTATGCCATGGGGTCCCAGACTGAATACAAAAGAAAAGGAGTTGAGCACCAGCTTTCATCTCTCTCTGCTTCCCGGCTGCGGAGGCAGCGAGCTGTGGCACACTCCCGCCATTGTCACCACAGTGGACTGTACAGTACAACAATGACGCAGTCTCTCTCCTTAAGAATAATCACAGAAGTCACGCATGGATTTCAGGTCACGAAGGATCCCATTCAACTCCCTTCCAT